GTGACCGACGTTAGCTGAGGATTTGCTTTCAACAGTTTTCTATTGGCAGTCAAAGCCTTAATTTATTTTTATGTATGCATATAAACGAATGTCAATTATATTTTAGTTATCGCCTATCTCTCACACTAACACGGTCCTAACGACCGCGTTGCGGTTTCCCAAGCAGCTGTGATGCGGTAGTGAACGTTTTGCGAAAAAAATGTGTGTCCAAATATCAAATAATGTCGGCAACGATTCGGTGTTGCGCTCTGTGCCATGAATTTATAAAATAATACAGGTTCCAGCTGGAATCAAATGGCTGTTAGGGTCGGAATAGCGATAGATAAATATATGATATTTTATGTTATGTTTGTTATTCGTTTCGATTATTTTTGGTTTATTTTGGTATTGAACGTTTTTATCAAAGAACAAAAATGGTTTATTTATAAGTAAGAGCCTGCTGCTGAGTGCTTTTGTTTCGAATTTGTTTCACCATCAAAGTGCTTTTGTATCTTAACAGACAGCGCTATCTGTAGTCTCTTATTAGACGGTTATCACACACTTAACAAACACGGGTCCGGCACGGCGTTTTTGCTTTGGAAACAATACAAAAAGGTTAGGCGGCGCGCTGTCGGTGCGCGGGCGGCGCGCGGGCGGCGCGCTTACGTCTTTTTATTGACGTTATGAAATATGTCACAAGGCATACGATTTAAATGATAATGACATTTCTGGGTTTTAGCCGTACAGGAGCCGTGCTTGTTAGGTGTGCTTAAGGCCGCTACCTACCTACTCTTCGTCGCCACTTGGCATAATATAAATATAATTGAGTACTTACTTTGAGACTGCCTTATTGGCCGAGTGGTCGCAATTGTGCGACTGCCGGGCAAGGAGTCTCGGTTTCGATTCCCGGGTCGAGCTAAGTATTACTGGTTTTTTTTAATCTCAGTAGTAGCACGGAGTCTGTAAATGTGCCCGGTATATGGTAATAGACTCACCCCCTAATAAATGGGACTCGTAACATAAATAGTGAAAAGTAGGTGTTACATTGTACAGTGGCATTAAGTGCCGTAATGTGCTCTTCTGCCTCTTCGGGGATAAAAGGCGTGATGTTATGTGTTGACTACTTATTAATATAACATAGGAAACTTCCAAATATAAACCTCGATCAAATATTACAGTTAACTATGAGTTTAATGACGGAGTGAAATGTTTATAAATACCATAATGCTGATAGTTAACAGGTGTTTATGTTAAAATAAACTATTCAAGCGTTAAAGGTTATCGATCATTCAAACTTTATGGTTGTAATTTGTGTTCTGACTGACGGATGGGCTGAAGAAACTGGTCGATCAATCCGTCAATGTATTTTGCACTTATTGTTTTCGTTTTAAAGTTTATTTTTGTGTTAACAGCTTATTATGATGTGTAGGTTTAATGGAGATAAATTGGGGCCCTTAATTGATTTCCTGTTTGTATTTTTTTTAGTAGATTTTAGGTTTGTAGGTAAATGAAGAAGACTAATTACATTATTAAGATGAGACCAAAATTCGGACTCACTTTGGTTTTCATCTTAACATAACATCACGCCTTTTATCCCATGGAAGGGGTGGGCAGAAGTGCACATTATTGTGGCACCTAATGCCACTATGTAATGTTACATTCACTATTCACTATTTATGTTATGAGTCCCATGTAATAAGGTGTGAGCCTGTTGCCGTATACCGGGCACAATTCGAGACACCGTGCTGCTATTGACAATTTATTTTTTTAAGCCCAGTAGAGCCTTGCCTGACCCAGGAATCGAACCCGAGACCTGTTACCCGGTAGTCGCACTTGCGACCACTCGACCAACGAGGCAGTCTTTCATCATATAAAGGCCTTTTATAAAAACACAAAATTCATAAAGAATATTTATACTGCATTTCTCAACCGGAAGCCCCATGCACAGCAGTTCAGCAGTTACACTTACAAACCACACCATAAAAGCAGCCATGATTATTACAACAGAAAACTTCGATATTTCAGCAATAGTTAAAAAAACGACTTCAATAAACCAAAAAGTAAGAACTAAAAAGCAAACAATAACTATTATTAGTACTGATAGGTTACCCACCCACTGATAGGTTAGAAGTCATTAAAACCTTAATAGATAACTGATATTAAGCTGTTGACAATTTTGTGACCATTAGTTATATTCAAAAGTTCCCCTCGGTTTCCCTGGGATCCTATCATCAGATCTAGACCTTTATAATATAACCTTTCAAAAGAAAGATAAATATAACATAACATCACGCCTTTTATCCCCGAAGGAGTAGGCAGAGGTGCACGTTATGCCACTGTACAATGTAACACCCGCTTTTCACTATTTATGTTATGAGTACCATGTAATAGTGGGTGAGCCTACTGCCATATACCGAGCACCATTCCAGACTCCGTGCTACTACTGAGAAATTTTTAAACCCAGTAATACTTTGCCCGACCCAGGAATCGAACTCGAGACCCCTTACCCGGCAGTCGAACTTGCGACCACTCGACAAACGAGGCACTCACTTAAAAGAAAGTGGAATTTTGGAAATCGGTCTTCAAAAGGTGGAATACTTAATCAGAGAACATATGTATATGAAATAAAAAAACAATCATTCGAACATAGTATCTACCTCCTTCTTTTTTTAGAGGCCGGTAAGAATAGCATCTTACTCTCAAGGAATCCATACGTAGGTATACAATACAAAGTTTCAGTAGAACTTGCAAACTTCAAGTTTACAATTTAGACCTTCTCGTAAGGTGTAGTGAAGTTTGCAGTGTTTCTTACTTTAACCATTATATTTTTAGCTCAACTGTAAACTCTGTCACTGGATAACTTCTTAAGGAACTAGGTCAGTTATTGTAGACTTCAAAAAAAGAAGGAGGTACTAGGTTGGCTCATATCATCACGATATAACTTAATGGAAACAAAATTGTAAATTAGGTATCTATTAGGGTTCTAATGAATAATTTTGTATAGATATTATGGCGCCGACTTGTGTGTGCAGTGGACTTGTGTGTGTGTGAGTGGGCAGTGGGTGGGTAACCTATCGGTACTAATAATAGTTATTTTTTGCTTTTAGTTATTTTTTATTTTTAGTATTTAGGAACTTTAGATTTTTGGTTTTTTGAAGTCAGTTTTTTATAACTATCGTCATATACATGATGAAGGTATAAAAAGGTTGGTATCGTAAGGACACATACCGAATTTAAATATATTTAAATTCTGTCGGATTTTTGTGCGGATTTTGCCAATAGATGGCGGTATTCATGAGTATGGTTTTAGAATGTTTTATTTTAATTTAATTTTGAGCAAGCGGACAAAGACACGGCTAACGTAAGTATAAATCTACAGTCTTAAAATATTCTATCACAAAATTGATGACCCTTGTACCCTATACCTTCGAAAGTTTGGTAAAATTTGTTGGGACGATTTTCAATGTGAGATTATTGACACCTCATGTTTGATACATTCTATTACCTAACATTAGGAGCTTTTGGAACTTTCCATTGCATTAAAAATTCAGAATTTCAAACTCGAATGCTTTGCGCCAACCATGCATTCATTATACATGGTTACTTATTAAGTAGTATACTTAGCCTTGATGAGTCCGAGGCTGCATACCTCCTCAGGCATATGTTATCGATCTACAGCTGCCAGTATTAGGGACGTTCCTATAAACCTATTAGGCTATTACTAATTCATCAATGTAAGGGTTTAGGTATTCAATATTGTGGCCATGATATACTCTTTAAATAGTCATTAGATTAATGTTTTTGTAATAGTTTTTGGTTGAATTTGTTATGAAATACTGAAATATGTAATATCAATGAGACTTACATTATATAATACTTAGGTACATTACAAATAAAATAATTTCTTCTCAGTTTGAGTGATTCTTCAATGTGGCTGAGGTTCACTGAAGGGACGGATGCTAAAAGATCTGCAAAAGATGTTTATCGAGCACAGATAACGCTGAGAGAAGTCAAAGGTCGAAGTATATCCATCAAGAGTGTTGTTTAACTCGTCGAGTACCGGTTTTGTAGACACAATTATAGAATAATAGGTTGCGGTCACTGGTGACCGCTTGGTGTTTGACAGTTTAAGGACCTACTTAGACTAAATACAAGCGACATAAAATAATAAAAGGGCCATATTAAAAATTTGTGAATGTAAAATTGTAGATGAAGCTACTTACAATTGTTTGCCTGAATCGACTCATGTGCGATTCATTATCTCTACTTACCTCAAAAACAGCTATGTATGTGTCCTCCACAAAAAACTAATACACTGAGAGAAAAACCAACTACACACTTGGCGCGGTAGTTGGACAAATAGATGCTGCTCAACGTGCCGCGAGTTCGATTCCCGCACGGAACAACTCTTTGTGTGATCCACAGATCGTTGTTCCGTGTCTGGTTGTCATGTGTATGTGAACTTGTATGTTTATAAACGCACCGACGACACAGGAGGAAATCCTAGTGTGGGACAACTTATTTTTAAATAAATAAAAAAATATAGTTATATACAGCAATGACAGATTTTAACATGTATTAGACGAATGTTCATCGCTTGCCTAATCGTAACCAATAGGTTGTAAAATGCCTATTACTGCCTCCGGTTCCGGTCGGCATTTGGTCAGGGTAGGAATGATTTAGTGTTTCCTATGTGGAGGGTAGTTGTGGTTTATGATAGACTAGTTGAGTGTATTCCCTGTGTGTGTTTATCTGTCTAATTGGGAAAATGGTACTAAATATATTTTTATTGCTTTGCCAAACAACTTAATTGACTTATTTCAGATATTTATGTTGGACCTTCATGACCATCAAATTGCATTTATCTTACATTGTTTTTATCTTAATGATAATGTCCACGTCAATTATTTTGCAATGACCAATGGTGAATGTGCTAGTAATTTCAGTCTAAGCAAATGGCGGATAAAATAAAACAAAGAATACGTTCGTTACCGTTATTATTGGATAATTTAAAATGCATTCCGGTACTTAAAGGTACCATTTTACATGTCTTTATCTATACATTTAGATGCATAAAGTTTCATTCATATAAATAAACAATAGACCCGTTTTAAATTAGGTATTATGTTACATAAAAATAAATTTACAAAATTGGTAAATTAAAATAAAAAATACTGCATTTTATTTAGACATTATACCACAAAATTGCACTAGAAATTATAAAATATTTCATTTTAAATGATAAAAATAAAGTTGACCTATTTTTGTAAACATTGATTCACAGTAAAGTCACAGAGAATTTACATACAGAGTGCTCACTATTTCCAGTATATTGCCACTGAGGGCGCCACTTAAACAGCTTACATACATTAGTATCAACTTCAGTACTTTCGAAATACATAGAGGTACATGTACCCGAGAATTCGGCACTCTGTAACACTGGCGGCTGAAGGGAAGCAGTGACATCATTTATTTATCAATACCTACGATGATAATGTAACACCGATCTTTTAAAAAAAATGTTTACATTAGAATCACAATAAATACAATAATTTACTTACTCGACTCGACTTATGATCCGCTCGAATCACATTTGAATATACCACGCGAATATTGTCTACGTTACTTATTGAGTATTCCATTTCAGAGCAATTTTCTTTCTGTGTATTCGAAGCAATTCCTTAATCAGTTCTTATTCGATTTAGGGGATATGTTTTAAATATGTATGAAAAATGTATTGAGGATAATATTCAAGCAGAATATAACTCGAGTCCTACCTTAATAATAAGCACTTTGGAATCGAATTAACTATACTTTACATAGCCATATAAACTAATCTCTACATACACTTAGAAAATCTACATAATTACAAACGTTTCACTAAGAATCTAGACTTTTTGAATTTTTCAGAGATCTAGGTTGTTGTACAAGTTTATTCTTTTTGTTCTTATTATCTAAGGTGAAGGTGTCGTTCGGACCAGCAGGGGGCGTGTTGAAGACCAGGTTCTTGGAGCTAGGCACACTGTTCCCCGGCGACACCCCGCTGTCCGTGCTGACGGACGCGGGGCTCGGACTGTCACTTACATTGTTACACACCGTCAGCTCCTGACCAGGGATGGATACGATCTGACCTATCGGCTTCTGCCTGACTAGATTTATGCTTTGGCACACGTTATTCTTCACTTCACTATCACTCGAGTCCTTCTTGTGGTATCTCGTCAGGGTGCCGGCAGAGCCCGCCGAGTTCGGCCGGTACATCGGCAAGAACTGCGCCTGCGGGTAGTACTGCATGTCTGGGGGAGCCTGGCCCTGCACCCAGGGGCCCATTGTGGACACTACAGGGGGCATATGTGTCCACATCGGCATTTGTACCATGTGGGTTCCATCTGCCATCGGGCTGAAACCGGGAGCGACTGGCATTGGCCTCACGACACCCACGGGAGTCGGTGCACTGTGCGGTCGCATAGCAGGGTGTCCATACTGAGCCATGAACTCTTCTCCCTCGTACATCCTATTTTGAGTTGGATTTTGCGAGTAATCTATATTAGGGAACACAGTGTGTGGACTTCTTTGGAGATATGTGAACATTTGCTGCTGAGCCTGCTTCATGGCGACGTATTGTTGCAGGTGTATGGCAGTCTGCTGCCTCTGCTGAGCGATATCCTGCGCCATCGTCGTCGTGGTGTTACCGTGTATGTAGTAGATATGTGGTTGAGTATTTACTTGTGTCACTGGGGACTGTCGCTGTGTGGAGTGTTTACTGTTATCTACACCTACAGTATTGTTCTGAGGATCCTGGTATTCTTCTGGGGGTGCGATGTACTTGGGCGGTGACGGTGGCGTCACCTGCTGTGACATTGGGTAGCTTATGATCTGCGCTATGTATGGTTGCTGAGATTTAACTGAGTGAGCTGGACTGTGTGTTTGGAATGTTGGGTTAAATGTTATCTGAGACATGTCTTGGCCGTCTGGGTTGTGATTCCCTCTGTAATCGTTAGCGTCATTTTTCCTTGGCTTTTGATTGTATGGCCCGACTTTAGGGTTGTTCTTCCAGTTTGCTCCGGCACTCTGTGGTCTTTTGACGGGAGATTTTGTCGGATCATGCCAATTGTCGCCATTGATTTGTCTAGGGTCTGGTGGGTGGTGTGATTGTGCGCTGTGTGATCTCCGTGGTGGTGGTGACATGCCGTCGGGGACGTGTTGTTGTCTGTAACAGCGTCTCCCTGAGCCGGGGCTGTTCTGTCGTTCCGGAGGAGGTGGTATCGGCCTGGGTACTCGCCTCCTGGCTGGTGTGGGTGGACTCGGCTGCGATTGAGAGGAATGTGTGGATAATGAAGCAGACCGCCATTGATCTATCAGCACCCTTCGGCGTTCATGCTCTATTCGGATTTCTGTTTCGCTGGACGAATCGTAGTCTTTGCCCTGGAGGAAGATAATATGAATTATAATGATTATGCTACACAAAAAAGGTACTGGTTTTCAGAAGTAATGTTATTTTACCTTTTCGATCTTTTCATCCAACATCTTGAAGAAATCTTGTTGGCTGGCCGACACCTCCCTGTAACAGAGATTCCTTGTCTATCATACAATTTCATCATCATATTAAGTTGACCTACATATTGTGAAGGCAAAGGCTTCGCGTTGTTACTACATTTTAAGGAAGCAGCAAATGATGAATATTATGGTGTAAAAATTTTAAAAGTTTAGTTTTTTTATTAATTACATAACATACATAACATCACGCCTTTTTATCCCCGAAGGGGTAGGCAGAGGTGCACATTTCGGCACATAATACCACTGTTTTTTTATTAATTACTAGTATGTATAATTACATACTATTATTTAGTTTAGTAGAATGTTTATTTAGTAACGAGCTTACAGAACAGCCGGGTGGTTGGTGAGTGGCAGGATGTGTTTGGTGGGCTGTTCTTGTTCCTCCTCATTGTCGTCAGGGGGCGCTGCTCCGCCGGCCGTACCCTCCTCCTCGTCCGCCTCTTTATCCGCTGCGCCTGCACAATGAAACGATAAACCTTTAATTTCTAAGGTTTTTAATATTAAATTAGTTTTTTACGTTGAAATGTATCGTTTATGGGTCTCATGTTGGTCATACCGTGTTAAGACTCCGTGTGGTGTGCATGTATCTACTGAAAAATTTGATTAAACCTCAAAAGCGTTTGTTCTACCCGGGAATACTTAGAACACAGGACCTCTTGCACTTGTGGCTTCGCAACTAATAGGGAAAATGGGCATACGACTTTATTGCTACTATGAAAGTATGAACTTTATGACATCAATGTCGAAGCATTTCCAAAGTTCAGCATTAAATTAATAAATGATACATTCATAAGTACCTACTTAATACAGCAGCCATTACCTAATGGATTGCATGCTACAACTTAGTACAGAATATAGTAAAAGATAATTGTCCTTTTATAAAATACTTTATTTTATATAGTAGCCAACTAAAACACGACATAACATTTTTAACGAATTTTTGCTTAATGTCAAAACTTTTGACATTTACATCTATATTCGCGCCTTTTTCGGCTGTGTTGCCAGCCGTCAAAATCAACCATAAGGAAATATTATGTAGATGCTAACAGCTCGGCCATCCTAACTAGGGTGTGTCCTCACACCAACTTAAATCAACATACACTCAATACAATTAGTAATTGAAATAATAAGCCCAATAACATAACACAACTAATAATAATTGTAGACATCAACATAGAATAAAATCAGTAATAAACTTTAGCCTAACACAAAGGTACAAGAATCTTAAGTTTGCTAACTAATAATACAAATAGGGATTGAAGTATCAACTTCGGCAACCTGACATAAAATAAGTGTAAAACATTGATTTTGAATAAAATCCACAGTACACTTGAGACTAATTGAAGGTTACAAAAACATAAATACTAAGTATAGTTCAAATAAGATCTGAAGTATCAATGCATACAACATAACATAAAGTGACACCAAAATGAATAAATTCAAATTTTACACTTGAGTGTAACTTAGGTAACAAAGTCTTATAACTAAAAGTAATACAAATATAAGAACTGAAGTTCAAGTTGAGGAACATAGCAAAGTAACCGTAAAACATTAATTAAGAATAAAATCCACAATACACTGAGTGTAACTCAAGGTTACACAGATCTTAATTTTACTAGGCATAATTAGAATTACAATAGAATTAGAATAAACTAATTCTAAGTTCTTAAGTTATTAAAAAAAATAAAACATTCTAAAGTTTCCTAATAAATAGGGGTATTAAGTTATTAACCACAATGTATAGTTACTATAAAATATCAACATAACAAAGCACTAGTTATTAACCATAATGTACTGTTATCTTAAAATATCATCATGACCAAAATCACTCGGCCATCCTAACCATGGTGTGTCCTCACACCAATTTAAACAATATGCACTTGAGCCTTCCTTGAGGATTTCTTATATCTCTCTCATATAACTTAACAAAGAGTAAAACAATCTGAAGTAATCACATAACATCAAAATAGCAAAACAATAAAAACAGTCTTATGTTCTCTAGTCTTTAGAGAATAAACATTCACAATCTGCGTCATCTGTGCCAAAGGATATTAACGCTCGCATCCTATACTGCCATATTGAAAACGCAATCTGCGCCATCTATGCTTTAGCACTGGCGCTCACGATCAATGCCAAATATAGTCTGATGCAATCTGCGTCACCTGTACAGTATACACTGACACTCACAACCCCTACTGATATGGTCTATCACGATCTGCGTCATCTGTGTAGGGTAAGAATGGCGCTCGGGACCCACATCTGTAGAGTCTGTCATGATCTGTGTCATCTGTGCAAATATCATGAAGCTCACAACCTACACAAGCATGGTCTGTTGCGATCTGCCTCACACACTAAGGCTCGCAACCCACACCAGTGTAGTCTGTCGTGATCTGCTTCGAAACAAGTAAGCACTGACGCTTGTATTTAATACAACATTTACAATAGACTCTTATTTTATAGTAACCTAAATTTTGTCATTATTTTAATCGCCTCATTCACTCTTGTCGTTACCATCACTGTCGTTTTCGCTGTCACTTTTGTCTTTTGTATCACTTTTGTCGTTACCATCACTGTCGTTTTCGCTGTCCAATGATTTAAAGTTCAGCCACGGATGTATTTTATCAATAGATACTACGTTTTCGTACTTCTTACCTTTCTTTCTTGTAATAGGAGTATCTTCAACCAAAAATCTATCATTGGGTAATATTTTAACAATTTTATAGGGTCCGTGAAATTTAGCCATTAGTTTCTTGGATTTACCAATTCTATCCTTATCAAATGTAGTTCTTTCTAATCTAACTAGATCACCAATGTTGTATTTTGTGGCTAACTTTCTATGCTTGTCGTATCGATGTTTGGCTAAATTTTGTTGCTTTTCGATTTTATGCATAGATTCATTTCTTAGATTGATTAATTCATCGCCGCTAATGCGATCTGTAGTTGTATTAATTATATCTCCTAATATATTTTCAGACACAGTTTTAACGTTATAACCAAACAATAATTCTGACGGACTTTTTCCGGTACTTTTGTTAACTGATGTGTTTAATCCTAGCTGAACGTCACTAACATATTCATCCCAGGTGTTATCATTTTTATCATGGCATTTTGCGCTAAGAGCCTCCGAAATAGTTCGATTAAATCTCTCAACCTGTCCGTTCGCTCGCGGAGTTGCTACAGCGTTTAATACGTGTTTAATACGACTATCTTCTACAAAGGTTTTAAATTTGGAACTAGTAAAACAAGTACCCCTGTCTGTGATTAATCGAGTTGGTGCTCCAAAATAGCTAAAAAAATCTTTAAGGACTCGAATGGTAGTAGTAGTCTTTGTATCTCTGACAGGTCTTATACTGATAAATTTTGTAAAAGCATCTATGATTACTAAAATGTACATATTGCCTCTCCGCGAACGAACGAATGGACCTAAGTGATCCGCATGCAAAGTGTGAAAAGGTATGTCTGGTTTTGGAATCGGATGAAGTAGTCCTTCTTTAGGTCCTGCGGGTGCCTTATGATACGCACATTCTAAACAAGCTTTGACATACTTTTTCGTGAATCTCCGCATTTTGGGGAACCAAAATGAACCTTTAAGCCTACTTAGTGTCTTATCATAACTGAAATGGCCCACGTCGTCGTGGTTCATCTTAAGTAATTGCCACCTAACTGATCTTGGAACCACCCAACGTAACCCACCATCGATTACCCTATAAACATAATTACCTTTTAACTGGTAATTTTTATGAACGTCAACAATGAATGCTGTGTCTTTACCCGCTAAAATTTCCTTGATTCTTTTAATCTCATCGTCATCACTCTGGACAGTAGCGATCCAGTCTTTCGCTTCTACATTGAGTACATCAATAACGTGTGTAGAGTCAAAAGTAGCGGGTTCATCTACAGGGGCACGACTGAGTGCATCAACATGTGACATTTTAGCACCTGCTCTGTATTCTATTTCACAGTCATACTCCTGGAACTGCACCCACCACCGACCTATTCTAGGGATGAGGTCCCTCTTTGTCATGGTAGTTCTTAGTGCATTGCAATCCGTTACTATTTTAAACTTTAGTCCTAATAGATAGACACGAAATCTGTTTAATGATGCTATGACAGCTAGTGTCTCTAAATCAAAAGAGTGAAGCTTTTGTTCATCCGCCGATGTTTTGCGGCTGTAATATGCTACAGGATTTAACGTCCCGTCTCTGTTACGTTGCATTAGAATACCCGCAATACCGTGTTTTGACGCATCTGTGTGTAATTCGGTTTCTAATTTGGAATCGTATAATGCGAGTAATGGTCTCTCGACTAATTTCTGTTTCAGGGTTTCAAATGCTGTCATTTGTTCTTCAGACCATCTCCATGTAACCCGTTTCCTTAACAGATCGGTTAACGGACGTGCAATTAGAGAAAAATCCTTTACGAAACGTCGGAAAAAACTGGATAACCCTATAAAGCGCCTAACGTCATGAACATTGTTTGGAGTCGGGAAGTTTGATACTGCAGTTATTTTACGAGAACCGGGTCTTATACCAGATCCGCTTACCTCAAAGCCTAAGAAATCTATCTGTGTATAAAAGAAGAAACATTTTTCTAACTTAAGAGTAAGATTTGCACCACGGAAGATACTCAAAACTTCATCTAGTCTTTTTAAACCTTCATTGAAAGTGCGCGCTGGGATTAAAATATCGTCCATGTAAATAATGATATAATCTAATTTAGCAAGTATTTTGTTCATGGTTCTTTGAAAGACAGACGGCGCATTTGCTAAACCGAAAGGCATTCTCTTAAATTGATATTGGCCATCCGGAGTAACAAATGCCGTTTTATCCTGGGAACTTTCTCCGACCGCTAATTGATAATAACCTGATGCTAAATCTAAGCTAATGAATAATGAATGACCAGCTAATCGATCTAGTTGATCATCAATCAGTGGTAGGGGAAAATGCTCCTTTTTGGTTTTTCTGTTCAGTGCACGATAGTCAATACAAAGTCTTTTGTCTCCAGTCTTCTTCTTAACGAGGAGAACTGGGCTGGCATATGCTGAGTTGGATTCACATATAATATCTGCAGCGAGCATTTCCTGTACCATAGATTTCACTAATTCTCTTTCGGGGTAAGATAATCTATATGGTCTGTAAACCACAGGTTTTGTATCAATCAATTCAATTTCCATTTTTTCAATGTTGGTATAACCTAAATCCATCATATTACAAGAAAAACATTGTTTGTACTTTTGTAATATATTTTTAAGCTGAAATATTTCTTCACTGGATAATTTGTTGTCATAATTTATTGAATTACTAATATTTGCATCATTAAAATCCAACAAGTTTACATTTAGTATAGACTTCGTACATAAAGCACGGGTTATTAAAGATCCCTGTCTCAACAATAATTTATGATTTGATATGTTTTGTATTAATAATGCACCAGCTCCATTCACTAGATCATATTC